AAAATGGAAAAGTTCATTTGTTTAACTTTCTATTGATATATAACTTGTTATACTTTTAAAGAGATCTACTATTCAAATTTTAATTAGTTGTCAATGTTATGCCATCCAAATTTTAATCAAAAAAATGGATGGTTGCAGCAAAAAGATTTTTGTTAAAACAGCCGATAACAAAAGAGTTAATCTTATAAAAGTTTAATTAACAGCATTTAATTGCTAAATTTTTCAGGTACAAATATTTGTGAAATTCATATTTAATCATGCAAGAATATATTTAATAAAATTTTTTCAGTAAAACATGTATTGCTTATTTTATTTTATGTTTAAAATTGAACAATTTTTGGTCAAGATTGCAAAAAAGTAAGCACTATCGTATCAATTTTTGAAATTGAAATCATTTAATGAAAAACTTTTTATTGTCAGTTTTGGTAGTTTTTTAATTTTTAATTTTATGAATCATATTTTAATGTAAAATGCTTGCCAAATGTGACAAATTAGAAATAAAAAAGTTTCATGTTTATATCAATATAAGTGTTTGACTGAGTCCTGTTTTCCTGCTTGTTGGAAAATGGCATCTGTGGTTCCAATATTCAAAAACTCTGGAGAAAATTCTGACCCCTCCAATTATTGTCTGATCAGTCTTCTTTCTGTTATTAGCAAGGTCTTTGAGTCTTTAATCAACAAATTCCTCACATCTCATCTTAAGTCAAATAAACTGCTGTCAGACAATCAATACGGTTTTCGATCCTCTCGCTCTACGGCCGACTTGCTAACTGCTGTAACTGAAAGATTTTATCGTGCATTAGATGGAGGCGGTGAGGCTAGGGCTATTGCTCTTGACATATCTAAAGCTTTCGACAAAGTTTGGCATGCTGGTCTTCTCCATAAGCTTGCTTCATATGGTGTTTCTGGGAAAGTTTTTGAGATTATCAAATCATTTCTTTCTGACCGGTTTATTAAAGTCATCCTTGAAGGCCAACACTCTTCTTTATTTCCAGTAACTTCTGGGGTTCCCCAAGGTTCCATCCTGGGCCCTGTTTTGTTTCTTATCTACATAAACGATCTTCCTGACAACCTTTCATCTAAAGTAGCTCTTTCTGCTGATGACTCAACTTTTACTCCTGTCTTGACAAAAAGTCTTCTCTTTTCGATCGCCTAGAACAAGCAGCTGATCTTGAATCCGATCTCACTTCAGTAATAGATTGGGGTTCACAGTGGCTTGTGAATTTCAACTCTAAAAAAACCCAGTTGCTTACTGCAAACAACTACCGTAATATGGTCAACATTCCTATATTAATGAATGGCAATCCTCTTACTGAGTCGTCCTCTTTACGGCTTCTTGGATTATCGCTTACTACTGACCTTTCATGGAAACCAAATATACAATCGATTGCTAAATTAGCTTCTGCTAAGGCTGCTTCTCTTTATCGTGCTCGCCATTTCCTTACTTCTGATTCCATTCTCTACTTCTACAAATCTCTTATTCGTCCCTGTATGGAATACTGTTGTCATATTTGGGCTGGTTCTTCTAACGATTCACTTTCTCTTCTTGACAAGGTCCAAAAACGCATTGTAAATGTTGTTGGACCTGGAATATCTGCTAAGCTTGAACCTCTTTCCCATCGTCGTAAAGTTGCATCTCTTTCTCTTTTCTACAGATACTATCATGGTCACTGCTCAAAGGAGTTATCATCTCTAGTTCCATCAACTAAAATTCATTCTCGTTTTACTCGTCATTCAGCTAAGTCTCATTCGTTTTCTGTATCTGTCCCTGCATGCTCTAAAAACTTTTATTCATCTAGTTTTTTTCCCCGCACTTCAATCCTTTGGAACTCTCTCCCATCTTCATGTTTTCCTGACTCATACAACCTTCAACTTTTGAAGTCTTCTGTCAACCGTTTCCTTGCTCTATAACTCTGTTCTTTTTTTTTCCTAGTAACTCCCAACTTAATAGTGGTTGCTTGCAGCCTTGTTGGGAGTGAATGCAAATAAAAAAAAAAAAAAAAAAAAATAAAAGATTCAGAATATATAATAAGGTAATCAACGTCCTATTTATGTATTTATTATATTTAAGAGTGTATCATAAAAGTCCTAATTTTATTTGGTTCTGGTGCTCTATAAAAAAGCATTTTTTTTTTGTTTGGCTTCCTATAAAATCTATAGGAAAGTCAAATGATTGATGATAAATGCTTATTTCAAAAAACAAATAAAACAAAAACAAATAATATTGATTCAATAAAAAATTTGATTTAAAAAAAAAAATTTTACAATTATGTCATGTATTAACACTCTTAGGAATAAAACGTGCCTGAATAAATTATAAAATCTGTAGATTTCATTTGTAAATTCTTAAAGCAATTGGCTAACATGTAGACTGCAATCTTCGAGTAAAACAAAAGTTAGTTTTTCTTGGTGTACCCTTATTATTTTTTACTTAAAAAAATTCAGCCCAAACATTTTTTTTTATCATTATTTTTTATATGTAAAACAACTTTTCTTAGCACTTTGGGATCCCTTTTAAGTGGGAGTTGTACTGTCATTGTTACTTACAAAAGTATAGGTATTGCATTGATCTCAATTACTTTGAGTGGTTGTTTGTGGAATAGTTGTTGCTCTTTTTTTACTATAAGACAAGATTATATGGGCACTGTGAAGATTGTAAGACAGATCTATATATGATTGCATATGGATCTATAAATTTGACGTAGGTTTAATTAAGTGTGACCAATCTTTATAAGGCGTTTAAGTAAGTAGGGTACTCTCTTGCATGGTCGATTTTAATTTTACCATTGCTTGATCCGTTTAAATTGTTGTTTTTTTAAAATTATTTTGAAGACCATTTTAGCAACTACCACGGGATTTAACACAAGAATTTATCACGTGTTTTTACCTGCGCAAGTAATGCTCATGTGGGGGGGGGGGTAGCTATTCAATGAAAAATTTTTAAAAGAAATGTTTCTTATGTTAAAAAAAAGTTTTTAGGGATCCCTCAAGACCTTTGAATATAAGGTCTCAAGAGAAATAAAATTATATAAAAATTTCAAAAATAATTTTTATAAAATAATTTATTTTATAAAAAACATTGAGAGAAAGAAAATTTTAATAAAATTTTGTGTAAAATTTAAAAAATGTAAAAATGCATACTTTTATTTTTAGTTAAAAATGTAATTTTTAAGCAGTGTAATTTAAAATAATTTTTTTCTAAAATAATGATCGTTCTTGAAATTTTTATTTTTTAATTCAAAATGTTATAATTTTGCTTCATTTCTGAGGGACCTGTAAAATTTTAGTATTATTATATCATAAAGAACACAGGGTTGGAGCATACATTTAAAAAAAATAGTTTTTTGGGACACCCATATATATATATATATAACAAGTTGTAAACACAACAGTAGATGAAACTAATTAAAACATTTAAATTTTTAGATGAGCTTCAGTGAACACATAATATTGGTTGAAATTTTATATATATTTTTGTTTGTAGGTTTTGTTAAAAACTTTAAAAGTGCAAAAAAAAAATTTTGTGAAAAAAAAATTTTGTGAAAAAGTCACTAATTGAAACTGAACATTTAACTTTTTTTTATACAAAATAAAAATTGAAAGCGCTTTCAATTTTTTTTTTTTTTTTTTTCGAAACCTGGAAGAATTTTTTAACTTAACCAAACTATTTAAAGAATTAAACATTATTTAATTACTTTTTAAATATAAATTAATTTACTATTTAATTCTTTAAATAGAAAGTTCAGGGAAGTTTAAAAATTCTTCCGAGTAAGTTAAAAAATCTAACTTTCATATGTTCATACTTATGTAATTTAATGATTTTATGACAAAAAATTGCGGAGGTTAAAACCTAGGAATGTAAAGACCATAAAAAAGTAAGCATCACCTGGCTAAATGCCTATTTTTTAAATAGGCATTATCTCCAACACAACTTTCAAAAAAAAATTTGATCAGCGATTCTTCTTAAAATCATTAATTATAATATATTTAATAATTTTCAGATTTTTCAACTTTTAAGTGTACTCTTGAGTCCTTAATACAAGGGGGGGGGGGACAGAAAAATCAAAGATTCAGTGTAAGCAGGCTTTAAAAATTGCACTTTCTGACAACTGTTTTTTAATATCTTATTTAACATGCATAAAATTTTATGCATGTTATGTAAAAAATATTAGTTTGGATTTATAAATTACCCTCCCCCACCCCTTTTAATAACCCCCGCCCTGTTAATCAGACCTGGACTAAAATTCTCACCCACCCTCCTTTAATTCCCACCCCTTGTATTAAGGACTCGAGAGTAACCAATTGAGAGTAATGTAAATACAAGCAATTGAAACGTAACGTAATGTAAAAAAATTCTGCATTTAAGACCTATTTTAATTGTGCCTTTTTTTACATTACATTGCCTCTCAATTGGTTACACTTATAAAAGTTAAAAAAAAAAAGCCAATTGAGATGTAACATTGCGAATTAATGTCTCAAATTTGAGACATAATTAAAATATGTTACAAATATAGATCTTATTTTACGTTACATTTCCTTCTTTTGAAACTTTTAAAAGTGTAACCAATTAAGGCGTAACGTAACATAAAAAAAACTCTGTACTTTTTACTTATTTTAACTGTGCTTTTTTTTACATAACATTACGTCTCAATTGGTTACACTTTTAAAAGTTAAAAAAAAAAAAAAAATTGATATGTAATGTTGCGAATTGAAACTTAATTTTTATTTCATGACAAAGTTACCAGTTGAAACGAAGCTATTTTATAATTAAAAAAAAGTAAATATGGTAATTAGCTGTACAGCAATGATAAAGAAAGATTTACTGTGTTAATAACACAGTTATCAAGTTTATTTAAATAAGATTTATTTTTAAATAAGAGAATGTAACCTTGTTACCAATTGTAACCGGTTGAGACATAACAAAATTAGTAAAATGTTATAGGGGTATATATATATATATATATATATATATATATATATATATATATATATATATATATATATTCAAGAAAAAAGAGAATGGTGCATCTTCAGTGTCATACAATTTAGATAATTTAACATTTTTATTAACAAAATATGTTTGTGTTTAAATATATGCTAACTGGTTTAGCACTTCTACATAGTTTTTATTTTGCAAAAAAAAATAAATATAGATAAATTAAATTATTGCTTATAGTTGCTTATTTTTTGCTTGTTTTAAGCGAATCTTTGTTTTTTGTTTTTTGTTTTATTATTTTATGGTCGTCTTTTTTTTGACAAATATGTTAAGTTTCTAATTTCAAGAACCTCCTTTATTAAGTTACTTATGTCTTTTATAAATTAATGATAAAATAGTAAGAAAAACCTGGGGTAACTCTTAGTAGTTGCCTACCCTACAAAAAGCAGCTTAAACCATTTTTTAACAAGTTTTTAATTTTTAAACAAGTTTTCTCTTATAACTAGTTACTTACATAAATATAGCCAACTCTTGTTTAATTCTTGCCAATTTTGCAATTTTTATTAAAATTATGGTTTCTTATTTTTTGATTTTTTTATATTGAGTTTTTCTAAAAACTCTTTAAAAACTAATATAACTAATATTTATATATATACAATTCAAAGTTGTTATTTATTTTCGATTTGACAAGTCAGTATTGTCCCTAGCCTGAATTCTTATTTGCTAAATGATTTAGTCCTATTTGTAATATGTAAAAGTTTATGTATTAAATCTTTAACTATATTTATTAGATGATTAATATTATTATAACAATAAATATTAGTTTTTATATTTGAATTAAACATTTACAGTTATTGAAATTTAAAAAAAAAATTATATATAACTTTATGCTTATTGTTTAGAGTTAAATATATATATATATAACTTTACTAATTGCCAAAAATTTTGATGACACAAAAGATTTAAAAAATATAAAACTCACATATAACTATAAAATAAATACTAAAAAAATTTTAATAATGTTACATGTTATGTAAACTTTTGTTATTGTATGCTTTTATATTAATGTTGAAATCTTGTTTATTATTTTTAATTTTTTTTTTAGTGACAAGTCAGTAAAGATTATTTCAAAACAATTAGATGATTTTTGTGAGCGCAATACTCCGAAAATAGGAATTTGTCATGATCCCCTTAAAAACACTTTAAACGTAGATAGAAATCATGCATTTGGCATAAGAATACCACTTGATGAAACATGTGCCAGAGATTTAATTTATATGAGAAACACTGTTTGTTCTTCTGTTGAAAAAAATTATCTTTTATTTGTCATAATTAAAATTAGAAATCAGCTGCAAAATAAAAACTATGAAAACTTTGATGAGTTAGAAAATGCATTTATTTGTGAAGACAAGGTATTTATAACCATTTTAATGAATGTTATTTGTTTATAATTAAAGATCAGTTAAAAATATTTTCTGTTTTAAATTTGTAGAATCACACTGGACTGATTGATTTATTAAAGATTGAGGAGGTTTTTTTGAAAACTAGAGTTCCAATCAATAAGAAGCTACTGACTAATTTTATTCGGTATTTGAAATGGAGCAGAAACCAAAAAATGAACTATTCTCAGCTCATTCAAATACTTAATTGGAAAGAGGAACTGTCTGATGATATTGAAAAAGTAATTAATACAGAATTCTTCTTCCTGAAAATGCCTTTTTATTTCATTTTAATTAAGTACTTATTTTATTATATTAAAATAATAACTTTTATTTTTTGCAAGTGTTTAGCTTTTTTCTATTTTTCCTAAATAGTCCATATATTTATTTGCATATATATTTACATACAAAGTTAAAACCAGATAATTTAATATTTATAGGAATAGTTCAGTTTTATATCTAAGACATAATATTGTTAATTTTTTTTTTTAATAAAAGTTATTTATCATAATGAATACAACATTTGATTTATGTATGGCAGATCAGTAGTGTAGCAACAAAAAATAGGCCTCCTCGCAAAATTTTGATCCGGCCCCTAAATTACTTCTCCCCCCCCCCCTCTCTAAACAAAAAAATATATACATGAAAACAAAAGCCTTATTTTTAAATACAGTTTTGATTTAATTTAATGGAAACAAGTATATTACATATTGTATCGCTAAGAATTTGTAATTCTTAGCTATATAATAATAGCAAAAATGTGATTAAATATATTTGAAAAATTTGGCTTGAGCTCCTAATAAGTCTAGGCCCTCCCACGGCTGTGGGCCCATTGTTTTGCTTCTGTGGCAGACATTTTTATGTTTCAATTACATTTATCTAGATAATGGTTGTCACGATTTATTTAAATACATGTTTTCTATAAATATTGACATATTATTTACGGAAGTTTACTTAATAAAAAAACATAATTCTCAAAAAATTGTGTTCTTTTATTTTTTTTGTTTCATTATTCATTGTTGTTTAGTTAAATAGGAAATATTAAGATTACTTTAAAAAGACACATTTTCATTGACCTAATATGAAAAAGTAGTTGTTCAGAACAACGCAGTGTTGTACTTATGCATGTACGATATTGTCTTGTTTTCTTTTTTTTCCTCCTCTTTGAACAATATTCCAAGATGTAAAGAAGAGAACTCAGTGAGAGGGTTACAATTCATCAATATATGAATGTTGAAAGTATTGCGATATTTGTTTGAAATAACTGAGTTTTGTTGGAGTTAAATTGACAAGCCACTGAAAGCCCTAATCTGTTACAGAAGTGAGATCAGATTCAAAATTGGCTGCCTATTTTAAGTGATCAAAATAAGAAGACTGTTTGTCAAGACAGAAGTATAAAGTTGTCTCATCAGCAAATAGAGCCACTAGATGTAAGGTTGCCAGAAAGATCATTAATGTAGGTAAGAAAAAAAATGATGTTGTTGAAGATTTTCCAAACCTTCTTACATTGATTTCTTGCAATAATAAATAAGCATTTTTTCTGTAGGGATTTGTTCTTTTGAAAATAATGAAAGAAATGATTACAGTTATATATAGCAGCTGCACAAGAAGGCGAAGACCATGGACTAGAATGAGGCTTGACTTGGAATTGAAAAAAAGGAATTAAAGCTTTTATTCCTGTCAGAATCCAGGAGATTGCATAGGAGGTGCATTTATCAGCTGAGAGAGAAAAGACATCAGCTCAAAGATTGTTATGAAGAAAATCATAAAAAGAATCCCTGTTAGCTTTAGGGTAGTTGTAATTAGTGCAATGATAGGGTGTGTTCAAAGAAAAAGTATGAGATAAAAGATTTATAGAGATCATTGCATGGTCAGAATAAAAGAGGGATCAAAGGATTCAAAACTTATTGGATCTTCTTTTTTATTGTCTTCACAACAATGCAGCAGATGAGAGAAATATTGTGGTGATTAATGTCTGTTGACTTCAACCTCAGCCAATGGACCATTATGCAGTATCACTATTTTTTTTTTCAACCATCATTGTGTACATGATGACGTATGTTTGTTTTTCACCCATATTTTATCAACAATTTTCCATCCTTGAATCTTAGTTAAAGATATTTGTGTTAATTCAACTAAATCAATTCCAAGAATTTTTTGTAAAAAGTTGTTGGCAAAAGATTTTCATATTTTGATGAAATGTTGTTGATTAAGAATGCAGATATGGTTATACAACATTTTGCTCTCACATTTGTTCTTTTTGCCATCCAATGAACTCTTTCAATTTTCATACAGCTTGAACATCTCTTCAGTTGTTGTGAAATTGCATCTCTTTCTGATTTGTATGAATACTATCATGTTTGCTGTTTAACTCTTGATCACAGATTATAAAACAAGCACACCATCGTTTTTATAATTTGTGATCTAAATGACTTGGAATAATCTTGGAGAGCTTCAGAAGGAGGTCTAAGTGATGAGAATATTGTTTCAAAAAACTGAAAAACAATTGCTGCACTTTCATCACTTAATGGTGTCTATAGTGTGTATCTGCTTGAATCGCAATCAATACAGGTAAGATATAGCAATGATTCAATATGAGTAACATTTATAATATTAATTATAATTAGTTAAAAAATTTTATAAAAGTTATTATTTTATAAGTACTATTTTTTTTTTTTTTTTTTTTTTTTTTTTTGTTGTTTTTATAACAAAAATATATAAACAACAAAAAAAAAAAATAGGTCACATATAACAAAGTTAAAATAATTTTTAGTTTGTTCCTCCATAACCATCCAACATCATAACCATCCAACATCAAAACCATCTAACATCATAACCATTCAACAACATAACCATCCAACATCGTAACCATCAACATCATAACCATCCAACATCATAACCATCCAACATCAAAACCATCCAATATCAAAACCATCTAACATCATAACCGTTCAACATCATAACCATCCAACAACATAACCATCCAACATCGTAACCATCAACATCATAACCATCCAACATCATAACCATCCAACATCATAACCATCCAACATCAAAACCATCTAACATCATAACCGTTCAACATCATAACCATTCAATATCACAATTTTTTACATGGGTATAGCGCTGCAATGTTAGTTTTAGTGTTTATTAAAAGTTTGTATGTTATTTAAGTTTTTTTATAAGCATTTTAGATGTTTATTTTATAAAAATTTAGGTCACTCAGATATTTATTTATTTAGATATTTGAAATAAAATCAAATGCCAATGACGTTTTACAAAAGGATGAACCTAAGCAGATACAAAAAGGTATGTAGTTATAATAAAATAAAATATAAAAAAATAAAATACAAAAAAAGTTAATAAGTATTGTTTGCTACATCTCCTAATTTTTATCTTGATTTAAAGTTAATATACTTTAGAAAATGTTAAAACTTTATATTTATTAAGTTTTTAAATCAGATTTGAGAGAAAAAAATTTAATTTTTATAATTTGTTTTTAAAATATTCAACTTGTCCAAATTATATTTTGGAATTTTTAGTAATTTTTACAAAAATTAAGTCAATTTATGAGAAATTAAAGTCAAAATTAATTAAAGTAAAAAATAAGTGAATTTATGGTAACTAAACATTTGTTATTGGAAGCTAATTAAATTTTTAAACAAGTCTCAGAAAAGTAGTACCTATTTTTTTTTATTTTGAAGTCAACAGTTTCTGTGTGTTTATATAAAATCAACAAAGTTTCTGTGTGTCTATAAAAAGTTCACAAAATATTTTTGTGTCTATCTTAATTCAAAAAATATCTTTGTTTAAATAAAATAAGTTTTGGATGGTTCTTAAAGCTCTTAAATATAATAATGTTGATAGTCACCTCCATAATGTATATACATACATACATACATACATACATACATACATGGCCTAAAAGATTATGACCACTCATAATTATTATAGGTAATTACTTATAAATACAAAATAACACATTCAACAATCACATGCTGCATGTCTAAACAAATGATTGCAAGTCTAAACAAACATTTGAAAAAGCCCAAAACAACTGTTCATGATTTAATTATGTGCACCAAATCAACAGATGGCATTATTCCAGGAATATCCTGTAGAAGACTGAGAAAACTACTCTGATAACCCAAAACATGATACAACATTTGACTGTGAATTTAAAAGACATACATATTTCAAGTTCTCAAATTCTTACTTATCTGCCTCCTAGTGTGAGTGATAGTTCCCACAAAGTTCAAAGATTTTCTTTGTTATCTTCCCACAATGATACTGATAGCATTGATAGTTTCTCATAGTCTGTGATAGAAGTCAATGATAGTGATAGCAATGATATTCAATTCAGTGATAATGTCCTTAAAGTTCTAAGATTTTCTTTATGATTGATGGTTTGCTTCGAAGACCTTCAATCATATTATTCTGCATTAAACCCACATTCTTCCTTAAAAAATATTTTTGCTCTCCTTTTGAAAAGGTCAGGTCAGGTCAGGTTTATCCTGCTACTGGTAACATGTAACCCAGTACAGTCTGCTTCATGTCCTGCTGCCTTGTAGGATATGCCTTTTTAGGCAAAGGCTAAGAGATGCAAACTCCGACATAAAACACCACCTGCCTTGGGGCTCTTGGTTGAGTAAAGGCTAGAGATGGTGTCTCAATAAAAATACTCATCTTGGGAAGATGTTAAATGCATCTGGCTGCTGTCTTGTAGAAGGCCTCCTAGGCAAAGACTTAAGGGGTAAACAGATTTTATCTGTTGACCAGCCTCGCACCCCTTCTTCATCTATTAGGCTGGCGCAGATGTATTTTTAATACATTGTTTCCAGTTTAGGATGTTGAACGCTGAATCTTGACTCGATGCATGGGTTTTGCTTGTGTCTCTGTTTTTATGACTAGGCAACTCATTCTATTATCTCCAAATGAGGGTACAGCTCTAAAACTCAGTTTTATGGTTCTGAGGCCGGCTGGTAGTCAGGTTTCCCGAACACTGTGGTAGCTCTCAGAGAGGCTGATTCCATCAACAGCTGAAAAATATCAGAGTACTAACAGTGCCATGTTGCGCATGGATGGTGTCCCTGTTTGTACTTTTGGTGTGCATTGCCAAGGCCACATTGGAGCCCTTTGTTACGGCTTAGGGTTTATTAGTGGAAATGAGGCAATTGCTTGGGCTATAAAACAGTGTACTGAGTACTATCTATGTTTCGAGTCAAGTTCTTTAACAAATTTAAAAATGAATAAAGTAACAAAAACTATAAAACACAAAAAACCACAGTCATCACTAAGTTCGCTAAACCTATCATTCACCAATATTTGTGGTCTTCAAAGTAACTTTTCTTCTGTTGAGTCTTATCTTTTGCAAAGTTTACCAGACCTACTTGCTCTTTATGAGACTAATTTGAGTTCAGCTGTCTCATCTTGTGATTTTAGTGTTGATGGTTATCTTCCTTTAATTCATAAAGACTCCAATAGTCACATGCTTGGCCTAGGCATTTAAATTCGTAAGAATTCACCCATTTGTCGGGAAACTAGGTTTGAATCCACAGACTACTCTTTTATGTGCTTTTGTTTAGCACCACTTCACTCTATCACCTTTCTCTTTGTTCAATATTGCTCTCCTTCATCTCAAGACTGCACTCTTCTTGATGTTATTTCTGATTATATTGACCAAGCCCTCATTCTTTATCCATCAGCCAATATTGTTGTTGTCGGTGACTTTAATGTTCATCACACTGAATGGCTTGGCTCTAGTGTCAGTGGCTCCGCAGGCATTAAGGCCCTCAACTTTTGCCTTTCTCAATCCCTAACTCAAATAGTCAACTTTCCAACTCGCTTTCCAGACAACCCGAATCATTTACCTTCTCTACTCGACTTATGTATTGTTTCTAATCCTAGTCAGTGCTCAGTTTCTCTACACTCACCCTTAGGTGCTTCTGATCATGGTTTGGTCTCTCTAAAACTATTATCTCATTCTTCTTTACCATCAGAATCCCCCTATCATTGTACATCTTACAACTACCTTAAAGCTGACTGGAACTCTTTCCGTGATTTTCTTCATGATGGCCCCTGGGTAGAAATCTTTCGTCTTCCTGTTGACAAATGTGCTTCTTACATAACTTCGTGGATTCAGGCTGGCATGGAATCCTTTATTCCCTCTCGACGACTCCAGGCCAAGCCTCACTCTTCTCCATGGTTTTCTTCACATTGTGCTGCTGCAAATTGCTAATCGAAACCATTACTTCCATATCTATCAGCAAAACAATTCTCCAGAAAACATACATCTGTTTATTATTGCTAGGAACCATTGTAAAAGGGTTTTGTCTAACGCCAAAGCCTGCTATTCTCAGATCATGAAATCTCATATTTCACCACAAAAATTAGGCTCTCGTGACTTCTGGAGAATCTTTAATAGTACCAATAATAAGGGCAAGTCTGTAATTCCACCTCTTTTGTACGGTTTAGACTTTGTTACCTCACCTAAAGACAAAGCTGAATTGTTTGTCAAGAGCTTTTCATCAATATCATCTCTGGATTCCACTAGTTGCGTTCTACCTGATATAGCCGTCAAACAGGTTGATCCACTGCTTGACATCCGTATTACTCCAGCTTCTGTATCTAAAGTGATTTCCTGCTTAGACTCTTCTACAGCTTGCGGCCCGGAAAACATACCTGTTATAGTCTTGCAGAAGTGTTCTCCGGAACTGTCGTCTATCCTTTCAAAACTATTTAACAAGTGCTTATCAGAGTCTTGTTTTCCAGCCTGCTGGAAAGCAGCATCTGTTATCCCTATTTTTAAAAATTCTGGAGAGCGATCCGATTCGTCTAACTACCGTCCCATTCGTCTTCTTCCTATCATAAGCAAGGTTTTTGAATCATTAATTAACAAACACTTAATCTCGAATCTCGAATCTCATAAACTACTTTCTGATCATCAATATGGATTTCGATCTTCTTGTTCTATGGCTGATTTGCTAACAGTAATAACCGATAGGATTTATCATGCATTAGATAAAGGTGGATAGGTTAAGGCCATCAGTCTAAAGCATTTAATAAAGTTTGGCATGCTGGCCTTCTCCATAAGCTTTCTTCTTACAGTGTATCTGGAAACATCTTTAAGATTATTGAATCCTTCCTTTTCAATCATAGTATAAAAATAGTCCTTGACGGACAGCACTCTTCTTTTTCTGTAACCTCAGGGGTTCCTCAAGGTTCAATCCTTGGCCCTATACTCTTTTTAATTTAAATTAACGATCTTCCAGATATTATCACATCTAAAGTGGCATTTTTCGCATTTGTCACGATAAGAAGCCAACTCCCTCTGATTGCTTGCAGGGGGCATCTGAGCTTGAAAAGGATCTCACTTCTGCTACAGCATGGGGCTCACGGTGGCTGGTGAACTTTAATTCTGGTGGCTGGTGAACTTTAATAAAACTCAATTTTTTTCAGCCAATCGTTATCGCAATAATATAGACCTTCCTATATTTATGAACGGTAATGTACTCGATGAGTCATCTACTCTTCATCTTCTAGGATTAACTCTTACTTCTGATCTTTCTTGGAAACCTTATATCAAATCCGTTGCAAAATTAGCATCTGCTAAAGTTGCATCTCTTAATGAGCTTGACACTTTCTTACTCTGGATTCCATTCTTCATCTCTATAAATCTAAAATCCGGCCTTGTATGGAATACTGTTGCCATATCTGCGGCGGATCTTCTAATGATGCCCTTTCTCTTTTAGACAAGGTGCAAAAACGCATTGTAAACATAGTTGGACCTACTCTTGCAGCCAACCTTCAACCTCTGTCACATCGTCGTAATGTTGCTTCTCTTTCTCTTTTCTACAAATACTATAATGGGCACTGCTCTAAAGAGCTAGCGTCTCTTGTGCCATCTACATTTACTAGAATTCATTATTGTGTTACTCGTCATTCAATTAAGTCTCATCCTTTTTCTGTTACTGTTCCTAAGTGCTCCAAAAACTCTTATTCGTCTAGTTTTTTCCTCAAAAATCAGTTCTTTGGAATTCGCTTCCTTCATCTTGCTTTCCTGATTCATATAATTTGCAATCTTTTAAGTCGTCTGACTATCGTCATCTTTTCTCTTCCAGTAACTTCCAACACTAATTAGTGGTTGCTTGCAGCCTTATTGGAAGCGAAGATGTTAAAAAAAAAAAAAAAAAAAAAAGACCTCAAACTTTGGACTGTTAAAATGGGGCAATGTGTCATGTGTTTAGGCAAGACGTAAGTTGAGGAACTTTCACTACACAAATTTGATGTTTGACAGTGACCAAACTTTTTAATCTCTGATCTATTGCACCCTCCACTAGGCAATGTTCAGCAGTTAAAATTTGGGATGCTATCACTGCCATTGGTTGTGCTGCTTTACATGTTTTACAATAAGATGAGTCAGTTTTATGAATTATTTGCTAATTATGAATACATTGTGAAAAAGATTCACAATGAGGTGATTTTCCACCAGTCAGAAAGTGTCAGAATATTGTCAGTGTGTTTATATATAACAAAGAAAATTCTTTTCTATATCTTCTTCTTTTTATATGATGGTAGAAAGCATAGTTTTTTCAGTATTTTAACTATCCAACATGCTTGACTTCAAGACTGCCAATCCTTTATCTAAAGTTGACTAAATGATCTTTTTAAGCCAAAATGTAAATTAAATAATAAAAAACTTTTTCTTAAAACTGATTTACACAGATAAATCTATTACTCTAGATAGTTTGTAACCAGTACACAGTTATGATTCTTCTGAGCTTTTTTTGTAGTTGGTAAATTTTTTATTCATTTAAAATGCACCTGATTATTTAGGAAAAATAGACTCTAGTTCTCGATCATATGGCATCCCAAGCATAAGAAATGATCTTCATCCTCCGACTTTAAGAAAAATTGGAGATATTAGGGTAATTTTTATTTTTGATATTTTTTTTAGTCAGGTATTATTTGATATTTCATTAGTAGTTATAATTTTTAAATTTCACATTGTTTTTATAATTTCAACATTAATTCAGTAAATAGACTTTTGATGCTATTTAAATATTATCTTTTCAACCCTTCTTTTTGTATCATTTCATCTTTTTGTAGATATTATCTCAATGTATGCTGAGTACCCTCTCAATGTACGCTGAGTAACTTTTAATTAGAGATCTATATTTTATCACTTTCAGTTTTAAATATCTTTTTTTTTCTCAGCATATGTGTTGTGTGTGTTTTCAAATTTTGTGAAACTTTTATTTTTTGCTATTAGGAAATATTAAGTTTTTAAAATTTTAAGCATTTAGAACTTTTTTTTTTTCCTCCAACATCTTCGACACAAGACTGCAAGCAACCACTATTAAAGTTGAAAGTTACTGGAAGAGAAAAGATGAAGTTTATCGAGCAAGATTGACAAACAACTTAAAAGAATGCAAATTATATCAGGAAAGCAAGATGAAGGACGGGAGTTCCAAAGAACTGATGTTCAAAGAAAAAAAGTAGGTGAATAAGAGTTTTTGGAGCACTTAGAAACATGGATGATACTTAATTGAATGACAAGATCTTTTAGATCTTCCTATATTCATGAACGGTAATGTAATCAATGAGTTGTCTACCCTTCATTTTCTAGGATTAACTCTTTTTTCCAATCTTTCTTGGAAACTTTATATCAAATCTGTTGCAAAATTAGCATCTGCTAAAGTTGCATCTCTTTATCAAGCTCAACACTTTCTTACTCCGGATTCTACTCTCTTTCTCTATAAATCTCAAAGCCGGCCTTGTATGGAATACTGTTGCCATATCTGGGGCGGATGTTCTAATGATGCCTTTTCTCTTTTAGACAAGGTGAAAAAATGCATAGTTGGACCTGCTCTTGCAGCCAACCTCCAACCATTATCACAATGCCATAATGTTGCTTCTCATTCTCTTTTCTGCAAATGCTATAATGGTCACTGCTCTAAAGAGCTAGCATCTATTTTGTAATCTACTAAAACTCATTCTAGTGTTACTCGTCATTTAATAAAGTCTTATCCTTTTTCTGTGACTGTTCCTAAATGCTCCAAAAACTCTTATTCCTCTAGTTTTTTTCCTCGAACATCAGTTCTTCGGAATTCACTTCCTTCATCTTGTTTTCCTGATTTATATAATTTGCAATCTTTTAATTTGTCTGTCAATCTTTATCATGCTCTACAATCTTCATCTGTTCTTTTCCAGTAACTTCCAACTCTAATAGTGGTTGCTTGCTGCCTTGTTATAAGCAAAGATAAAAAAATAATAAAAATAATATTTTTTTTTAAGTGTAGCATTTTTAATGCTACATTTTTTAAAATTTACAAACATTTTTTAAAATTACAAATTTAATCTAACATCATTTAAGTTTATTAAAACAATTTAAAAAATTCATGTGGCAAATATTTTCTTTATTACAGAACTATGGAGACCAACACAACTTTTATACCTTAATGAATCCATCAAAGTTTTCAGAATACGGCGTGGAACCTTTCGACTTAAGTAAAAAAAGAAGTTCAGAAGAGATTAAGAAAATTTTTACTGCCATTGGAGTCGAAATTACTGATGATGTTTTTTGTGAGTTGTGGGAAAAAGCACAAAATAAAAGTTCAGATGGACAGGTAGGAAATTTAATAACACTTTTTTTTTTACCCCATTATTTAATAATAATCCCAAACTCCACCACACTATTTGAGTAATTTTAATTTAGGAAATTTAAAATCATTTTTCACTAACACAGTTACTTGGCTTTTTATAAGTTGTGCTGTGTCTAATCTCTAAGTGATGTTCATAATTCCTATCAAAGGAGATTAATCAATTTTTATGGAAATTAATTTGGTTCTAAGAACTATTTTAAGGCTTTGAGTCTAATATTGATAATAAAATAAGAGAGGAGGGTTGGCATCATTTTTACATTTATTTATAACACAAACATAAAATTAAAATTCGAAAAAGTTTTTTATACATAAATCTTGTGTTGACCAGAAATTGAAACACAAGATATTTTTTTTGCAATATATTGAAACTAATCTTTATATATAGTGCCAGATTTTTTCCACATTTATTATTTATAATGTATTTACTTTGGCATTATTAAAAAGACAAAAATAATTTATAGGTTTCTATTGAGTTGTTTAAGTCCGTTTTACATCAAAAATCTGTTGAAGAAATTATGGTAAGTTTTAATCATTTTGTAAATTTTGATTTAAAATATTGCTAATGTTTCATTATATTAAAAATATTACTGTTTCACCTTATTAAAAATATTACTTTTTCACCTCATTAAAAATATTACTAATATTTCACCTTATTAAAAATAGTAGTTTCATCTTATTAAAAATATTATTACAAATGTTCTATCTTAATAAAAATATTACTGTTTCACCTTATTAAAATATTACTAATGGTTTTTATTTTTTAGTCGAATGTAGAACGTATAAAAGTGAGTAATGACTTTCAAGCAACAATACACTCAGCTCTTGCAAACAAGCCAAAGTATTATCAGAAACTTAGCCAAATCACATGATAAAGTATGATATAATTAAAATATTTTTTACATTTTCAAAATCCATTTGTAAAATGCATAATGCTAAAATTAGTGATATTTATTCAAAGTAAACTATTCCAGCTTCTACACATTTTTTTAAATATAAATCCAATTAGTAAGAAACATGAGTATCAACCTCTTATAGCCCCGAGTTGCCTGTGGTCATCATACCAAAAAATGCTTTTAAATCTTAATTCAAATTTTATTTCATAAGGAAATAAATGCGTATAACTTTAGTTTAATATATAATAATAATATTTAATATATACTAAAGGCTATACTTAAAATCTTCAGGTTTCTTAGTTTTTCAATTTTCACTGATTCACGTTTCGCATTCTTGTAAATAAGATCAGTTTTGATTTTTTGTTTTTTAGAAGTATTTGATATTTGATTTTGCAGCACAAAAAATTACTAAATTGTTTAATATAATATTTAATATCGTTTTATGTATTTTTTTTATTAGCTTTGCATTAAACAGGTTTTTGAATTTAATTTAAACCTTTGTTGCTTTAAAGTAACATTGCACATATCTGCTTAAAAAGTCAAAACCCAAGTTTTTGTTTAAAAATGTGTTTTGTCGACTTAAGGCAATATTGCCCATAAATGGAATTAAGATTATATGTTAATTATATCAAATTTGATTAATAAACATTCTTGTAGGTATAATTTTATATTTATTTAGATGAATACTTTTAAATTTTATGGTAAAAAATAAAAAGCAGTTCCTCCAAGACCAATTTTGAATCCTGCAGTATCAGAGGAAAGATATGAAAAAGAAAGAAAGAGGCTTAGTTGAAATTAAAATTTGCCAAAATGATGGAGTTGAGCTTCGAGCAATTAAATGGTTTGATAATAGATCTGTTAATATCATTACTACCTATGAATCAGTAGTTCCAACTACTCAAGTAAGAAGATGGGGTAAAAAGAAAAAAGGAGGTTTTGGTTGATTTTCCCCTTGCAATTGTCACTTTTAACAAAGATATGGGAGGTGTCGATCTCTTAGATGGACTATTGAGCTACTATTGTATTCCTATTTGTTAGAAAAAGTGGTATCATTTGCTAATCTTGCATTTTCTTGATGTTTTAGTAGTCCAAGCATGGATATTGTATAGAAAAGATTTAGCAAACGATAAAAAAAAATCATGTTAAAATCAAATTGTCAATTGCCGAATTATTGATTATGTAAAAAAAAAAAAGGTTAATCAGAAAAGGATGACCTTTGAAATCAGTTGGTCTGATCTATAATGAAAACCTATAAAAAATAAAAGAGGCCCTGCAGAGCTTATTCAAAACAAACTCATTAGAAATGATGGGTATGAACATTGGCCAGAGTATGCAAATAAGAAAGGGAGATGTAGATATCCTGGTTGTAATGGTTTCCTTAAAGTAAATTGTTCTAAGTGTGATGTACGTCTCTGTTTTATGCCGACATCCAACTGTTTTAATATTTTCCATGAATTCTAATTTTCAAATAAACTTCTCTTAATAAGATGTAAAATCAGAAAAGGTAAAAAAATTAGGGCTTTCCATGTAAAATAATATTGCATCAGAATAAATTAATACTTTATTAATATGTATCCATTGTTGCCTGAAAGCGACAAACCTCAAATTGGCCCCAAAAATATAAAAAAAGTTGTATTTTGAAATTTCATAGTTATATTAAGATGTTAAGTGACTAAAACTCAAAAAAGTATAATTTTTACACAACAAAAGAATAAAGTGGGCTATGAGAGGTTAAGATCATTTCAATGATGACACAAAAAAAAAGAGTATTTATATTTTGGTATTTTGCATAATATCATTTAAATATAGTAAAATCTTTTCCTGATTTATCTATTTTATAAAACTAAACTCATAATTGTGTTCTGATATCATTTTTACTTTGTATTTCATCACTAGCTTCATTTAGTGAGACTTTAGTAATGGTAAAGAGAAGTACTGGTATCAAGAATAATAAATTAAAGTTTTCATTTAAAATTAAAGACGTTATTATGTATTTTGTAATGCAGAAGGTTTTAACCTACAAAAATATCTAAATATGTGTACAATGAACAAAGTTTACTTTCAAATATTCTTTTAATTTTTTTTAAATATTGTTTTAATTTTTTTTTTTTTTTTGTACTTCACCTCCCCTAGGCCTTCTTGGCTTAGGGGAGGTGAAGTACAAAATACAGATGAGGAGGCTACTTGTGGTTATAACTCTTAACTCTATAACTCCGAAACACGAACCTTGAAAACAAGGCCGCTGCGTGGAGAAAGTGGAGAAACAAGTTGAGCGTCGTATGACCAAGGATGTGATGGGATTCAAACTTAGAACCTTGCACTTATGAAGCGAGCGCTCTACCACTACACCACTACCCCATTTTGCATTGATATTTGAAAATTAAAAAGCTGAAAAGATACTACATTTTGCCCTTTTTTTTTTTATTGGTTTTATTTCAAATTAAATTTAAATTGATTTTTTTTTTTTTAAAGAATAAGAGCCAACCTTATTTTAAAAAAAACCTCTAAAACTAATTTACAGTCGATTACCTATAGTTTTTTTCCTGTCACTGATTCACATTCCCCATAAAATATATATATATATGTGCCTATATGTATATATATATATATATATATATATATATATATATATATATATATATATATATATATATATATATATATATATATATATATATATATATATATATATATATATATATATATATATATATATATATATATGTATATATATATACAAAATATATACCATCATAAGGTTGATAGTCAAATTTTTAAATTACAAAGTCTTTACAAAAATTTTTAAATTACAAATTCAAATTTCTCTTTTTCATTTTAGAAAATTTGTCAATTGTATCATTAATGGATATAATAATATGCCTGTAAACATGCAGCAAAGCCAAACCCAATAATCAATTTTGTCCTTTTCTTGATCTTAACCATGTTTTCAATTTACAAAAATATGTTTTAGGCCAATTTATATTTTATAGTATCAGTAATTTTATTTGAATTTGATACAATTCTTTTTTTTAGTACAAAGTAACCAATGTTGGTATTAAATTCATTAGACACATTTATTGATGTACTTACAATAGGTGGTTGACTTTTAATTGTTTGCAGACTCTGAGGTAGATCTGGAGAATTTGATAGTTTTTTGATATCGACATTTGATTTTCTTGAATTTGGAGAAAAATCTTTAGTAATTTCATTTTTTGGGTGTTTATCCAGCCATTTTGATAATAAACTTTGTGTAGCATTGTGATTACTCATATTAACATTATAAGTTAAGCTTTTATTAAAATTAAGTACATATAAACTAAAAAAAAAATGCAAAATACAATAAAGTTTTGTAATAAATAATAATACAATTTACATTTAGTCATTATCACTACCTACTTTATATCATGGCTAAATACTTAGTATAAGTATTTAGCCATGATATAAAGTAGGTAGTGATAATGACTTGTAGGTAGTGATAATGTTTAAAAATGTGATTTGTGGACTTAACGCAACATTGCTCATAAATGGAATTAAGATTATATATTAATTATATCAATATTAATTAATAAACAACATTCTTGTAGGTATAATTTTATATTTATTTATTTCAACTACTCAAGAAGGAAGATAGGGTAAAAGAGAAAAAAGGAAGTTTTGGTTGATTTTCCCCTTGCAATTGTCACTTTTAACAAAGACATGGGAGGTGTCGATCTCTTAGATAGACTATTGTGCTACTATTGTATTCCTATTTGTTAGAAAAAGTGATATCACCGGCAAATCTTGCATTTTCTTGATGTTTCAGTTGTCCAAGCATGGATATTGGTAATACCACAGATTATATGATACTAGTTCTGTTTACTCTGGATGTAAACAAAAACCACAGTAATACGATTTTGTAGTAATACTGTATTACTACAGAATATATAAACTTTAAACTACAGAAACTATAAAGACCGTATTACTACCGTATTATACGGTATAGAAGATAATCTTTTATACTGTGTAAAAACTATGAATATTAACCCCATGACAAAATCAGTGTATCCACAGTGCACAGTGGACCAGAATGGCAAATTTTGAGACAAAAATAATAACTAATTTATTATTAGTGTTATATTCATCAAATTTGGCATGAGTACTAATATGAGGTCTGAGTTTTTTTTTTAGGTATTTTTTTACTATTTGGTTGCTATGGATACCTTATTTTGCATAGCAACAAGTTATATTTGGGAGTTGCAGGTTTTTTATTTATGTTATTTTCACTATACTTATTATGCTAAAAAGGTTGCTAATGCACTGTCTGAAAAAATAAATTCATCTCAACGTTGCCCAGTGTGTGAAAAATCTCCATCCAAGATGAATAACATTGATGCATGCCAAAAAAAAAAGTTACGATTTACAAACTGAACTTAAGTATGGCTTGTCAACATTACATGCCTGTATAAAGTGCATGGAATGCACTTTATCATGGCATGTAAATTTGAAATAAAGAAATGGAAGGCCTACAAATTTGAAATAAAGAAATGGCGAGTATATGGAGCTGTTGAAAAACAGCCTGTAAAAAAAAAGAAGAATGAATTTCAACGCAAATTAATTGAAGAACTTGGTTTGGTTGTTGACATGCCTAAAGCTTATGGCTCTAGGACTAATAATGATGGTAACACTGCACGTCGTTTCTTTAGGGAATCTGAAAAATTATCTAGCATAATTGTTTTACTAAAAACTCTTCTTGACAACTTATTTGTGGTCCTATTTACAGTATCCTGTGGTCTATATGTTAATGTTGATAAATTTCAAGAATATTGTTTACAAGTTGCTCGCACTATCTAAGTTACATTCTTTATTAGAACAATTTTGTTATTTTAATTTGAATTATTGTTGGTATAGCTAATGTGCAGTGTTTTATAAATAATTTACAATTACAATGTTTTATTTTTGCTATAAATGTAATATAATGATAATGTTTACCACACTGGCATAGAAACAGGGGACGAAGGGTACGATCGCCCCTCCCCTAACTAACCCAAAACTCCCATTTTTCATTATAATTCTAATTCTGGCTGGTTTAGCCCCCCCTTTTTTTTTTTTTTAGCTCACCTAACTTTCATGACCTTCCTAAACCTTTGGTTTGCGATACTTTAATTTATAGATGAAGTTTGTTGTAATGTATGAAATTCACAGTTTTATTTAGCATTTGCGCAAATATGGAGTGTTTTATGAGTTTTGTATAAAACTGAATATGACAACAACAAGCTTGTTGTTATAAGAAAATGAGGTGTCCATAGCAATCAATAATAAAAAAATATCCCTTGAAGCAGAGACCTTATATTTTTACTAATTCCAAATTTAGTTAATATAACAATATCAGTTAAATTCTATATTAGTTTTTCTGTTCTGGTCTGCTGTGCATTGCAACTCCCCCCCCCCTTCCCTTTCTTAAAACTTTTTTCCTTATTTTTTAACTTTATTATAAAATATAATATAAATTTTTGTAAATATAATATAATATATTGAAAAAAAATAACCCTCCCCTATCCTGACATAAAAACCCTTGCCACAATTACAGATTTTGCTAATTATACACCATTAAAATAGATATTGCAGTTGCAGTTGCAAACAGTTGCAAAAAAAATTTACATTTATTCTTCATAGATATACACATTATGTGGGCTACATGGTTAAATGTCAGTCGCCGTCATTTAAAAGTTCTAGAACATTTTCAATTAATTTTTCGTGAATAGTTAAGTAAAATGAGTATACAATATAAATTACTGTATGCCAACTTAAATAAATATATCATTTAATTAATATTTGCATCAAACTTAAAATTATTGATTTACTAATAAAGATTTACATGAATTTTTTAAATAAATTTTTTGTAAAATTAAAATGGATCAGATTTAAAAAACACATTAAAATTGTAATTTTCAACATAAAAACAACAGCGATACAATTAATGGGCTTCTAAACCTAAACTGATGTAAAAAAAAATAAAAAATCAGCGTAATATAATTTTAATTTAGACAGTAAGAGACTTAGCAAAAATATACGAAAAAAAATTTCTTATATTTTCACATTTTGAAAAACAGTTTTGTCCACTATCTTGCCCACTGTGCAGTACAGGCATAAAAATTCTTATTAAGTATGATATCATTACGATTTACGATTTTTATCAAACGGACAATTTTTTAAATAAATTGTTAAAAAATGTGTTATTTACAAAAAAATACAAGCTATTGGAGGCGGGGGAGCAAATGCTCCCTTTGCCCCCCTCCCCCTCCCTACCCTCAAATACGCCCTTGATATATATATATATATATATATATATATTTTATATATATATATATATATATATATATATATATATATATATATATATATATATACACATTAGGTATATGACAAAAAAACTTTTTTCAAAATTTTAATTCTCCTGATGTTGCATTTGATGAACTTTTACCAATAGATCACTGTTTTGAGGTTTATTTCATTGGATCACAAAACCTCCCGCGCCTAGCACCTTACCACTTTAAATTTTTTTTGATTTTTCATTTGATTTTGTTCCCAGTTCTTACTTCCTTATGCTTGACTATGCTTGACTATGCTTGAATATAACTACAAGTTGGAGAGCGTCAAACAGTTTAAAAAGTTAATTAACATAGAAAGTTCGATAGTTTTAAATTGTTTTCATGTTATGTAACTCAATTTTGAATAACAAATTTTAACGACTGTTTTTCAAATTAATGCGCGTTTGTTGTTGTTTGTTGTTGAGTATTTTTTAATGTTCGCGCGATAAAAATATTGAGTAGAAGTATTTAAAAAGTTTTTTCATTATTTGCAGTATTAATTTGCAAGATCTGCTGTTTAGTGCTTTTTTTTGAAAATATGTCCTTTAAAAGTAAAAAGTAAAAATCAGCAGTGGAAGCAGCTGGTGAAATATGGACACAAAATTTGAAATCAAGCACGAAGCGCCGTCCTAATATACCACAGGAAAAACAGGATATGAGCGACAAATTGTGTAAAATGCCTTCCAACAGAGATATTGTTGGAAGATTCTTGGGACTCTTTAATGAATTGAAAGGACGGCATGATTGACTAACAAAAATATCCGAGGAATTGATGAATCTTTGGCAGAAGTTTAATTTTCCTGTTCTTTCCAAACAACAAGTGTCTGCTAATGTTTACAAACTTATCACATTATTTGAGAAACACAGAAAGCGACCAAATGCAATATTTGAAGAAAATCTTGCTCATCTGTTCGATATAACAAAACCAGATGGAAATTGGCTTTGTAGTGAGGACAAACAACTGTACAAAGTACAAATTGAATCAGATGGCAGGGTGGGATATACAACTATGAAAGTGGCTCCTATGTCAACAATTCATCCATCAAAAAGGGCCAAAAGCACATCAGAACTTTCGACAAACTAAGCGATTATCTCCGTATCACTTTCCTGCGATAGTGACGATTCTGAGGAAGGAAGCAGCAGTGGTGACTCGGCGGTAGTTCCAGGAGAATCTCGCAGAAAGCGTGCAACACGCCAGTCAACTAAGTCTGCTGCCAAACTAATCACTCTTTGTCAACCAGAAAAACGTGTCTAGTCACTGTCAACCAGAAAAACGTCACGGGTGCTTTAAAGTCTGGCTGAGGATGGAGTTTGTGTCCCAACACCATCACAGTCTGGAGTCTGGCGTCGAACAATCAGAGATGCAGAACAAGTTAAGAACCGCCTCATGGAACTGATCTCTGAAGAGAAATTTTCTTTGCATTTTGATGGTAAGAAAATTGACAAGACTGAGTACCAAGTTGTGTGCTTGAAAAATGATAAAAGAACATTACAACTTGGCATTTTGCTTTGTGACAGTGGATCATCTGCAAGCATATATAAACCACTACAGGACCTACTTGATGATTACAATGCATGGAACAGTATTCAGATGATCATCTCTGACACAACAGCTGTAAATACTGCTCGCAAAGATGGAGTTGTTGCCAAGCTTCAGAAAACATTTCGAGACAAGGGATTCGATGAACCTCGATACATCAGCTGCCAACACCACATTCTTGATCTTGTTCTACGACATGTGTTGGATTTCCTATACAGACACAGCCGCCTAACATAAACTACAAATTTATTGATGAGATTATGGAGCATTACGATGATTTAAAAAATGCCTACAAGGGCACAGCAGTGGTAGCAGAGTATGAGGACTTAGGCTGGAGAGATGACTTTAAATTTCTTTTTCAGTTTTGTGAAGCATACAAGTTTTACAAAAATGAGGAAAAATGGCCTCGTATCAAATGGCACAAGCTGCCATCACTGCACAGTGCCAGGTGGAACTCAAGAGGCATTTTTGCGCTTATTGCATTTTTCATTCTTCCAAACTGGCGAGAACAGCTGAGGATAACTTGCGATTTCGTTGCAACTACATGGTCGCGGGCCTGGTTTTCAAACCAGCACTATGCAGAGGCGGCTCATGAAGACCTGCTGTCAGCAATATTCCAACTTAAGTGTTTCAAAGCTGTGAAATACTTCTCTACCCACTGGAAGAAGGAACCATCAGTGCTTGATGTTCCTCAAACCAACATAAAAGCCGAGAGAGCTGTAAAGTTGATGGGTGACATTCGTTCTTCTTGCAGAACAAACAAATATCTCAACTGTAAATTTATTAATACTAATACACAAATCTGAAAGATTATTAACATCACTACAAATGCTGTAGAACAGTGTATTTCTCATGTATTTCTCATGTGTATTGTATATAAAGTTGACAGATTATAATTAATAGCCTTTGGGCTGCTATGTGTTGTATTAAATATGAAACTATCTTAGGTGCGGGAAGTTTTTTCAAGGTATGGTGAAATCAATGTCATTTCTGTGATTTATAGGCAAAAGTTCATCATTTAGAATCCCAGGCTAATTGGTTTAAAATTTATCATATACCTAATATACATATATATTTATACATATATATATATATATATATATATATATATATATATATATATATATATATATATATATATATATATATATATATATATATATATATATATATATATATATATATATATATATATATATATATATATATATATATATATATATATATATATATATATATATATATATATATATATATATATATATATATATATAAATATATATATATATATATATATATATATATATATATATATATATATATATATATATATATATATATATATATATATATATATATATATATATATATATATATATATATATATATATATATATATATATATATATATAGAGAGAGAGAGAGAGAGAGAGGGAGAGAGAGAGAGAGAGGTAGAAAGAAAACAAAGTATAAGTTAAAAACTTCTTTAGTTGTGTATGTTATTTCTTTTTTAGGTAACCATGATGACGTTGAATATTTTGCTAGTAGCTAATTTATTTTTTATAAAATGATTTTACGGAATATATGTATATTTTTTAAAATTTTTTTGTTTTTGTTTCAAAGTATAAAATGACATTAAAACCTTTTAAACAAAAAGCTTTGAAATCACGCAATAAAGTTTTCTGTCTGAGGGCTGATTCATTATACTGCGTTTTTGATATCATATTTTAACTTTTGACGTATTTTTGGCACTTTTTTGGCAGCTTTATCGGTTTTAAGTTGTTTTTATCGCTTTATTTGTATTTTGGTTGAGATGCAAAAAATTTCACAATTAACATTTCACTACGTTCCTGTCAGGGTTGATAGGTTTAAACCAAATGGTTTAAATCAATGGTTTAAACCAATCGAAAAAATATCAATTTTAACCAAACTAATTTTTTTTTAAAAAACTTTAGATTTTCAGCAGGAAAGTAAGTTAGTGTTGTGTTTACAATTAGAATTACACTTACTTAAAATCATAAAGATGTTATAATCATAATGATGCTTCTGAAAATAATTTCTTATATATATGAAATTTACAGTATGTTATTTATTTGGCATTACCTATTTGTTTTTTAAATGCGGCAGGTATATGTATATATAGAGTTTAATATATATATATAGATTGACTGAGTAGATAGGAAGAACATGCTACGAATGTTGTGTGTATATATATATATATATATATATATATATATATATATATATTTCCATCTTATCTTCATCTTATCATCTTATCTCTTCCTCTCTTATCATCTGGGATACCATCTTTTTTTGACAAGTGGGAGGGAAAGGGGAGAGAGTATGTTCTTTATAAGAATATTTTTTGTTGTTTATAAGAATGTTTGTTTAAAATATAGGTGTTGTTCTAGAAAAGTTGCAAAGAGATCATACAAAAATAAACGCAGCAGGACAGGAAATTTTTTTGGTACAATCGTCGCCAATCAAACCAAGAAAAATGTACTCATTTATGTAAATTAGCAACGAAAAATGTAGCAAATAGATTTCAATATACCTGAATACTTTTCTCCTTTTAGTTCTCTCCAAACTATTAGTCCATCGTGTATCTGTTCTTACTGGTGTTGATGTGGGAGGAGCAGGTCTTGAGTACAGTTCTAAGGCCAGCCATTCTTTTCGCGTTCCTCAAGTCGAGAGAAAGTTCTTTCGCGCTTTTCGTGTTTGATCTTAAGGTTGCCAAGAAATGTTTTGATCTTCTCTTTTAAATCTTTAAAGTTGTGAACATTCATATAAATCTTCACTTCTTCCTCAAACACAGCAGAGCATAAGTTAGGATTATTAATTTCAACTTCCTTAATTTTATCTAAAGCATCGATCCTCCTCATTAGTAGTTTTTCACATAAACTCAACATTAGATTAAATTTTTTTTTAACTTAACGAGTACTTTTCTCTTACAAATTCTAATCATAATTTATATTAAATCATATACTTAAAAAAATACTATTAAAGCCCACATAAACATGCTTAAAATTTCACATTAGCCGTATTAACACATTTCCAATTACGCATAAAACCGTACAAACACATTAACAACAATTATTCACTTTAATTACAAACCACTAGACGTCATGTAACATTTAACATAACATAATCACATCGTGTTAACAACATCAGTATTCAAGTTCCAAGAAATGAAACACTTTTACAGGCATGGTGTGAATTCCCAAATTTTTTATTTTAATACTATAGTCAAATAAGGATTAGGTACAAATTATTACGGTTATTTGAGGCTACCCCACCCCCAACTCTTTGAGAGGGGGGACAGTATTTTAAACAGAATTATTTTCAAAACCTAAAATAATATTTAATTTTATCAATAGAATTCAAATTTCGTAAAAAAATCTTATAGCGTTCAGAAGTAAGTGACTACGAAAAGTTTTCAGCTTTATGTGGTCATTACTTCTGAAAATGTTTTATACAGATTTATACTTTTTATACTTATGGCCATAAATCCATTTCGTCAATTTGGGGCAGTTGGTTTTTTTTTTATCCTAGGTGATGTTTCCTTGTTAACATCCCCTTGGATAGAAAAGTCATTTCAGGGTGGAACTCTGCGGAACTTTTGAGAAATGATATTTTCAAAAACAATATTTATCGGAAAATTTATATTTTCACCTGATATTTTAATTACTCATTTAGAAAAAACTATATTCAATATTTTAAGCTTTTTTTTTTTAAAAACAGGTAAAAGATTGCCTTAATAAAGCTTCGAGATTTAAAAAAAAAAAGCATCTAAATGAGTAAAAAAAAGTTGTATTTGCTGCTAAGAATCTTAAAAAATCACATTCCCTAATAAAATTAAGAAACATATGGCATGCTACCAGTATTATACGTTTAGAATATCACATCTTCTATGTATATTATTCATAATTGTCATAGAAATCAGTTGTATTTGCTGCTTAGAATCTTAGAATATTAATCGCCTTATTAAATTTAATAAATATATTGAATACTATCTTTATTATATGTTTAGGATATCACATGTTGTATTTTCTGCTCAGAATTTTAGATCATCACATGTCACATCACATGTCACATCCCCTTGATAAAATTAAGGTATATATGGCATGCTAGCAGCATTATATGTTTAGAATATCACACCCCTTATGTAATTTGCTTAAAAATAACATACTAAATAGTTGTATTTGCTGCTTATATTCTTAAAATATCACATTCTATTGATGAAATTAATAAATATAACCAATACATCAGTATTATATGTTTAGAGTATCACCTCCCCCATGTATTTTGTTTATAACATCATAGTTACGTGTACTTGTTGCTTAAAATAATGTATTAAGAAATTTATTGCATATTATCCATTTTGAATATTGTTCACACAAGTTAAACTAATTTTTGCATTTAATATTCAGAACATCACATTTTGTTTTAGCTAATAGAATATATTATATATATATATATATATATATATATATATATATATATATATATATATATATATATATATATATATATATATATATATATATATATATATATATATATATATATATATATATATATATATATATATATATATGACAATAGTAGCTTACATCCTGAAATTTGCTGACAATAGTAGCTTACATCCTGAAAATGATCAAAAGGTAAAGGAGTTCGAAGAAGCAAAAAAATCACTAAAAAAAAACAAAGCTTCAGGCATCGATGATGTTTCCAGCAATGTAGTAATAGATATCTTACTCTTTATAAAAGATTTTTAATATTTTTAACTCATCTATTCAAACAAGACTTGTCCCAGAAAAATTAAAGAGAGCGAAAATTTTACTAATATTTAAAACCGGAGACTAACCAATTATAGACCTCAATTTTTCCAGTATTCTCCAATCTTCTTAAACGAATAGCCTACAATAGACTCTATGAATATCTTACAGAAAAAAAAATTTTAAGTGAATATCAGTACGGTTTTCTAACGATTCATTCCAACGGAACATGCAATCATAGACCTCATGAACTATGTTCAACGGAACATGCAATTATAGACCTCATGAACTACATCAGCTCATCTATTGATAAAGAACATTTTGTATTGGGAGTCTTAATCGACCTTACAAAAGCTTTTGATAGAATCAACCATAAAATTTTGATTGAAAAAATGAAAAAAAAATGGTATAAAAAACAAAGCTATTAAATGATTCACCAGTTGTTTAAATAATAGTCAACAATGTGTAACAATAAAAGATAACTAATTCAAAGCTATTAAAAATAAAATGTGGTGTTCCACAGGAATCAGTTCTTGCCCCGTTGTTGTTCCTTATACACATTAATGACCTTTTTTAATCCTCTACAAATCATGATTGCATAATGTTTGCAGATGATACAAATCTGTTTAATTCATCTTCTTCTCTCGATGACCTTTTTGACATAGTCAACCTTGAGCTTCAACAACTTAAAACATGGTTCAGTGCTAATAAGTTAAAATAAACGTACAAAAAACTAAATATATTTTATTTCACTAAAAGCAAAAAAAATAAGGCACTTCCATCAATTCTTACCTCTATAAGTATCGATTTCAACAATAATGAAAGAAAACAATTAAACAATTAAGTTTCTTGGATTGGTTATAGACGAAAAGGTTTCATGGACAGCCTATATAAAGCCCATCAACGCTCAATTATCTAAAATTCTTGGTTTAATTTTTAAAGCTAGACCACTTTTATCACGAAAAAACTTGAAAATTTTTTATTTTTCCTTTATACATAGTCTTCTACATACGCTAACATTGCTTGGGAAGCACATACAAGACAAAATTATGTCTCTTTATCGACGGCAGAAACATGCTTCTAGAATTATATATCATAAAAACAAACATACAAATGTTAAACCTCTATTAAAAGAAATGAAATCACAGTCGAAAGAGACCTTGGTGTGATGGTCTCGAATGATCTTAAAGTCAGACCGCAAATAGAGTTAGCCGCATCAGTAGCAAATCAAAGCCGCATCAGTAGCAACTAGGTATCTTTATTGACCTATCTTAGGCTTTTGATACAGTAGATCACACAATATTACTGCATAAGCTTAAATATTATGGTATAAACAAAAAAACTTTAAGATGGTTTGAAAGCTAGCTATCAAATCGTAAACAATTTGTTTCTTGTAAGGATGATTGCCAAAAAAATTTATTAGATGTATCTTGCGGTGTTCCTCAAGGCTCTATATTGGGACCCCTCTTATTCTTGATTTACATTAATGACTTAAATAAAGCTTCAAATCTACTTAGCATTATGTTCGCTGATGATACTAACCTATTCCTTTCTGATACTGACATCTCCAAACTGTTTTGTAATATAAATGACGAACTTAAAAAAATATCTAGTTGGTTCAAGTGTAACAAATTAACTCTTAATCCTAATAAAACAAAATAGATTATTTTCCACCCGCTTCAAAAAAAAACGTTACCTACCCATCAATCTGCCTAAAATATTTATTAACCAAATTGAGATTAAGAGGAACTCTGTCATAAAGTTTTTAGGAGTCTATCTTGATGAGCACACTACATGGAAACAGCATATTGATCACGTATGTACCAAGATTTCTAAAAATATTGGAATTTTATATAAATCTAGAGATTATCTAAATAAAAAAAGCTTGACCCAACTTTATCATTCATTTATCCATAATTATATAAATTATGCAAATATTGCTTGGGGAAGTGCTGGAAAGAATAAGTTGAAACGTCTTTTTTCACGTCAGAAACACGAAATTCGTATTATTAATTTTTCCGATCGTTTTACTCATTCAAAACCTTTATTTAACGAAATGAGAATACTTAATATTTACGAAGTGAATTTATATAATACTCTATGTTTTGTATATATGTGGAAAAATAACTTATCTCCTGACGTTTTTAAAAATATTTTTACTTTGAAACCAGACAGTAAGCATGCACTGAGAAATAATAATTTGCTAAATCAAGTTTTATGTCGAACCAAGTTTAATAATCTTTGTATTATCGTGCACCTAATCTTTGGAATAAAGTTATTTTGCAAAATTTTGATCTACCTTCCTCTTTTTCTATTTTCAAAACTAAGCTTAAAAATCTAATTCTTTCTATGGAGAACGTATTTCTAAAAAAAAAAACTATATTAGAACAAGAGCTAATTATCAACAAGAACACACCACTCTGATTTTATTTTCTACAATTTTAATGCAAGAAATGTTCAATTCAATTATTATAATTTTTTTTCATCAATTCGATTTATATTGACATCACTAACACACTATGACGTCATCAAACACATCGATAATTATACTGAAGTATATTATTTTTAAATATTCTATGCAACGGTTTATATAATTATTTATCGGAACAGATCCAATTCAAAAGCTAATAAACATTTACAAAAAATCAATAAAAATAAATTCATTTAAAGCGTTATGATTCCAGCGGTTCTCTACGACAAGACCTCAAGGACTTCTTCGAGTTTCCGCATTCTTTATTCCTAATTTTTATTGTTATATTTATTGTCATACTTCTATTGTTAACGAAATCTTTATTGTAAATATTATTTATTTCTCTTTTTATGTCTTACGTTTTATTCACAAGTTATAATAGAAATTGTAGTAATGATTGTAATAAAGAATAAAAAAAAATTTAAAAAAAAAAAAAAAAAAAAAAAAAAATAGAATGCTAGGGCGACTCAAAAAAACATTTCACAGACGCAGTTTTTATTTATCGCGCACTCTGTATCTCACTTACATTCGTCACCATCTTGAGTTTGCTGTACAAGCCTGGTCACCGCATTTAAAATCAGACATTGCCATTCTCGAGAAAGTCCAACAACGAGCAACAAAAACAATATCGACTATTAAACACTTGTCCTATGAATTTCAACTCCAACGGCTCGGTTTAACAACTCTTGAAGAACGCCGCAAAAGAGCAGATTTTATCGAGCAATTCAAAATCACTCGTAAACTCGAGCTTGTCAGTTTTGTCGTCCCGCAAAAATTTTCAAAAAGTAAAGATAAGTATATTTTAAGAGGCCATAACCATAAAATAGAACAGATGGTAAAAAACTGTGAGGAGCGATATAACTTTTTTTCAAATAGATATGTCGCCCCATGGAATGTGCTTTCGCAAGAAGCAGTGAACGCTCAATCCATCAACGCTATCAAAAACAGCATAAGAAAGTAACTTTATAGATACAACTGCTGCTACGTCTGTAGCGTCTGTATCTCCATTTTTGTCAGCATAGAGGGGCCTGGTGTAGCACCTCTTCATCAGATTATAAATGGATTATTGTAATTGTATTTGATCACTGAAATAAATAATAAATAAATATTACATCTCCTCATATAGCTATGTAGCATCTAGTGGAAAATATGTAATATATGTAAAAGATTACTTGAATACCATTAATTTCATAATATAATGTTAAATTATGGTACCATGTTTTGTGGACTTCGAATATATATACAGTAAATATATTTACAATGAATTTCATACATGTATTTTTTGCGTTTACGCTATATACTGTGAAAGTACTTGTATTATACGGACGCGCGAGGTACCCTACTAAGTTCTATTACTTTTTTTTTTTTAAGTTGATTAAGGTGCCCCAAGAAGTCCTTACGGTCTTATCACAGAGCACCGCGGAAGAGCATTTAATGGGTTTGGGAAGTTCACGCCTCCTTCCCAACCGATGTCGCAAAACTTGCCAGAGGTGGAGTTTGAACCACGGATCTTACGTTTCTGAGGCAAGTGCGCTACCACTGCGCCACGGCTGCTTAACTTTAGAATTACTACTTTAGAATGTATCGCCGTTTTCATTATTTTTACTGGTGTGGTGATGCTCTAAGGTGTGGTGGTATTCTATACCATCTTCAACCATTTCAACCCATGAAAACTTTTGCTCCCGTATCTTTTTATATTGGCGATTAGCACCATAAGAAGCCCTTCATTTTTCTGAAAACATAGCTAAAAAATTTTTTTAGATTCTGAAAATAAATCAAATCAAACTGCTGTTCTTGTTGTTTTTTACAAACAGAATTTTTATTAAAAGTTATAAAACAACATTAAATATGTTTGATTTCATTATTTTTAAGTTTACTTTAACGAATTTTTTTGATTTTTATCAATGCATTTTAAAGCCTACAAAAACCAGAAATCAACAAAGCGCAGTAATAATAATAAGTTAAAAAAAGAAAGCATTATGATTTTTTTAATACGAACTGAGCTGAATCAAATTTTTTACTAAATAAGTTAAAAAATGTGCTATATCTATTAAAGCAGTTACAACAAAAATACAACATTTTGGGCAGCAGTTTTTAACCAAAATGATATGGTGCAAGTAACCTCCTTTGTAGTCCTGTACCAGACTTTGCTAATTTACATAGAATAGGCATGTCAGAAGTTTTTATTAATAATTTCAAAAGTATTACATAAAACTTTTATCCGAAATGGGAAAAACAGATATCTAAAAAATCACCCAGACTTGTCTAGTACATCTGATCATCAAATAACAAAATTTTATGTTGCTGATACAAAGTTCAAGAGTTAAAAGTAATGAAAATGTGGAGACGGTTTAAGATGAGTTGAATAATGCTGTTATTTAGTCAAAAAGCTTTATTCTTTAAATATTGGCAAATGTCTACTTAACGTAAAACCTATTTAAAAATGAGAATTATATCTAATAGATGACAGAGAACTTAAAAAAACTGTTTTAAAAACAGACTTATTAAAATTTTCAAATGATCTTAAATGGAAGCAATAGATTCATTTACCTCAAAAGCAAACTCAATCTTGGGACAAATATCAAAAACTTTTGCACATCACAACGTAAATTTACTTTAGTTATTATGCAAGGTATTTGTACGACCACATATTAAATTTGCTGATCACATATTAAATTTGCTGACCACATATTGAATTTGCTGACCACATATTAAATTTGCTGACCACATATGAAATTTGCTGACCACATACAGAATTTGCTGCCCCAGTTTGACCCTTAATAAGACAACGTAACGCTAAGTTTATTTTATAACAGAAGTTGGAAATCTTAAACTCTTTGACGCAGTTTCAAACTTGATGATCATTCAAAACTTTTGTTTTTGTTTTGTTTATTAGTGAAAGTTAGCGTTGCGTATTTTACGGACAATCTTTTAACAAATAGAATCGCACCATTATAGAATTCTTTGCCAGAAAATGCCGTATACCCAAAATCTTTGAAGGAATTCAAAAACATTTATGACAATACATAAATAACAAAATACGCAAGTGTATGAAAAACTTGCATTGCTACTTGATGAGGCTGTCAAAGTTCACACTTGCTGGTGCTTCTACCTAATGTGCCCTCCTCTATGGTGGTTTCGAAATTAAATCGTTTCTACCTAATGTGCCCTCTCTTCTCTATGGAAGTTTTGAAATTAAACCGTTTCTGGCCAATATGGTTTAAAATAAATTAATTCAATTACAATAAAAATTGGATCAAAAAATATAAAATAAGTTTTTTATATATACTAGTTTTACATTATATATATTTTTTTCATAACTCTAGATTTCAAAGAACTCTTAATAAAATAAAAATGCTTTACAGAGCTAATATAAAAAAAAAAAGAATTCATATAATTTAAATTATTCATGAACAAAAAAATTCTTTAACAAACGAATTAATTTACAATAACATTTTGAGAATATTTCACAATTTTTCACAGCAAAAGTTTTTATAATATAAAAATTAATTTAATATTAAAAAAAAAATTTACAAAAATAAAATTTGAAATGAACACCTAACAAAAAGTATAAAAAATCAAGTATCCATGGCTTTTTCATTAGCCAGAGCTAATTTACGTATATTATTGAGACAACCCGCTGCTGCTTCTTGAATCTGTTCGTCAGAAGAGCCCACCATCTTTAATAATGACTACGTGTAACATAATTTTTTTTTACTATTCAATACTACTTTAACTATATAGGTAAGTAATAAAGACAAAAGAATATCAGTGTAAATTACCTTAACAACTCCGTTGCTATGCATTACAATACAATTATTGGGGTCACGTGATAACTGAAACAACGCTTTAGTTGTAGACAAATGGACATCACTGTTTGTTGATTTGAGATATCGAACAAGGGGCGCAACTGCACCTGCTTGGCCAAAGGACACTCTATTATTACCCCATGTACAACAACGTGAAATTGCTTCTGACAGATAATGCCTCAAACGATCATCTGTCTATAAGAAATCAGAAAAGAAAATGAAATTCGCAGTAATTTGAATCACAAACAGGTTAATTTAGATTTAACTTTCAAATTGAAATTACAAATTGAAATTACGGTGTTAGTTAAATGAGCAAGCATCGGTACCACCCCGTGATCTGTTCTGACAGCAAGATTCTCTTCATCTTTAGCAATTTTTCCTATTGCTGCACATACACTTGATAACACCTGAAACAAAACTACATTCTACAACGTTTATTTAACTACACTTATGCGACTATATTTGTGCAAAATCATGGTTGTTAACTTTTTCTTTTCTTTTTTTATTAAATCTCGATTTGAAGTGAAAATAAACATAAAAAAAATTTCAACATGTGACTAGATTAGAGATATAAATTAATCACTTATTATTTAAACTAATGTCAAATAAATGGAAGCATACTTCTGAATTTTCTGACTTTAGTAAAGATACAATCAATTCCAAACCTCCAACAAAAGAGCGAACCATCTCGCCTGCATCCTAAGGAGAAAATAGAGTTGTATAAAAATAGGTTTTACATTAGTTGCTCACACACTGTGCAATATTGATGTATGTACATAAGGTGACATTACTAAATAATGTCACATTGTACATGAAGAATTGTCATTGTGTACAAAGTAACACGGTGAAGATTGTGTGATGTAAATAAAAACTTTTTTTATTAAACTCTATGAAACATTGAAATTTCGACAAGTAGTTTAAATTTTATATAAGTATTAGACCTTGGCGTTTTCAATGCAAGGACATATTGCCCAAGCTGCACTGGATTGGACCTAAAAGATTAATAATAATAACAATCAAACATATTAAAGAAATTAAATTAAATTTTAAAATTAAATGAAAAAATAAAATTTCGCTATAAACTAATACAAATGTCATTGCAAAAAATGTTCCATCAGCTGTACTTATAAAATTCTCAAATACCTCTGGATTTGGGGATTTCAGTAGTGACCATAGTAAACGAACTCCATCTAATCTGTCAATAATCCTAAAAAACATATTTTAATGTTTTTAACAAAATATTTAATTCAGCATATACAAATATTATTTATAATCAATCAAAATAATTTTATGATTCATTTATTTGAAATTGAAAGTTTAGAAAAAAAAAAGTTTTTATCAATTTTATACCAACAGTATTTTTGACAGTTAATTTTATTATTTAGTATTTTTTTTAAACTAAAGTTTTGGTAAACATGAAACAAATATTTAATTTTGCATTCATGTATATGAAGACTTTTTAAATTTTTTTTAATATTTAAATAAAAAAATTTAAAATCATATTTTTTTACGCCATATTCTCTTGCTCAGAAGCACATTGGCCTATGGCTTTAGTTACATTCACAAGAAGTTGTTGATTTGTTCCAGTTAAGAGTGAAACCATAGGTGCGATGCCACCAGATTTGCGTATGATGGAGCAATTAGCTTGTATTTTTGCACATTCGCCAAGGGCTCCAACAACATTAATCAAAACCTAATGTAACAGATTATTAGAGAAAAACATAAACAATATTATCTAAAACCATTTTTAATATTGATAATAATTCTGACCTCTTCATGTTGATTGTTTAGCAATGTTATGAGTTGTTCTATAGCTTTAAGCTGCTGAAAAACAACAACATTATCACTGCTAATAGCACACTTCCATATAGCACCTGTGACTGCAACTAGTAACTCTTTGGTTTCTGCATGTGCTAGCAATGCTATCAGGGGTTCTAAACCTCCATAGACACGAACAAGATCTCTTGTGTCTTTGTCTTCAGCACACTATAACGAAAGAATAAAAATAGTTTAAATAAAAAGTTTAAAGGATATTCATGATAAAAAATTAACTTCATTGTTCAGCTATATTACGGATGAATTTGTTTGAAATATAAAAAATAATAATAACTAATTTAAATTTTCAATGAAATAATACTAATAATATATTACTAATAAATATTACTAATAGAAATTAAAATATTACTCAGTAGAAAATGAAAAATTGAAATATTACCCAATGGAAAATAAAAAACTGACCAACAGAAATTGAACTATTTACCAACAGATTAAAAAATCATTTCTATTATTTTAACATAAAGTCAAAAAATATATATATTAAAATATATACACGAAAAGCTTGGACTCTTAACAAACCAAACATCAATGATATTGACTAACAGCATTATTTTCTAATAACATAAAAAAATTTAGACCTTATATATTGCACTTGCACAATGTTGCTGTAACTCTGTATTATTTTTACGCAAATTATTTACAAGATCTTTTACCATACCCTCTTCACGTATTGCAAGACGATAGCTAGCCTATTTAAAAAAAGAGAAAAATTTTACATAAATATATAAAAAAAAAATTTTTAATTCTAAATGTTAACTTTAATGTTACCAATGAAGCACACTCTTGTAATGTTCCAACAATTGGAATCAGCAATCCTTCATTATCTGACTTGAGTAGTTTTGCTAACAGCATTATACCACCAGCATTCTTAATTGCTATTTTATTTTTGTCGCTTTTACTACAACTCCATAAAGCTAGTGCTCCTGCACGAGCAATTTCAATACCAAACTCTGTCAATGAATCAGTATAATCAAGAAGCTGGACCTTAATATGAAAAATAAAAATTAAAAAAACCATAATGAAAGTTTTTGATTTCAATGAGTAAATATGTAATAAACACTTTTTATTTTAATGCATAATATGTTTCATTGTAATTTCTATATTTCATTACATTTTTGTAGCAACCACTTGAAAAATTTTATGATTTTTTGTTACTAGTTTTTTTACTAGCTAAAGGCTCAGAGGTAATACAGTCAATGAGGTTATTCATTTCTCTGGTAGTGCTATATTCAGTTTGCATCTCCGTGCAGTGGCTTAAAAAAGTTCACTGTGCTTGTTAGGTTAAGTTGAGCATTATACTACCAGGATTGTGGTAAGGATTAAACTCAGAACTTCTTGATTATAAAAGAAACACTTTACAACAACTAGTATTCAAGTTCTTTATAAAAAAAAAAAAAATTTTCTTAACAAAAATGAATTTCACAGCCACAAACAAACATGTTAAATATTTTATTAAAAATAACAATTACAAACTAAAACAGTATTTAGATTCTTAAAAAAAAAAAATTGAAGACTTCCATTTTATTATCTATATAAAAAATTCTGATATGCTTTTTATTACTTCAAAAATAGATGTTTTCTGGAAACACATAAATAAAATTGGAACAAACGCATTTTAAAAATTAAATTTTTGTTATCATTTGGTTTTTAATTATTTTAAGGTAACTATGTTGCTGTCTTTTAGTGTTTATCTCATTTAGAAAAAAAGAAAAAAAGGTACCATTTTAATTTACTAAAATAAATTATTCAGAGTATAAGAATTACAGTTAAATGATTATTTATCAGTATATAAACTTAAGTAACTGAGGAGGTATGTTTTTAATAAAAAAAGGCTACTTCATACTAACTAAAGACTAATGGATAAAAGTCTTGCATTATCTTTTTATATTATTTCAAAGCTCAAATTATTTGCGATATGTTCTGTTGTCTCAGCATCGACTGAGTTTATACAATCTTAAAACACAACAAGAAATAGTATAGTATAAATTAAATATAAGATAAATATATATGGGTAAAAAAATACAACTTAAACATAAATATATAAAAGTTCTACTTTATAAATAAATAAAAATCATTTATGAATAAAACCCTGAAACATCTTAATTTCACATATTCACATTTTGTATACAGCTATTATTTTAAGTAGAAGCTAAAAGGATACTCACTCTTTATGGCTACATTATTTTTATGCTTTAAGTTTCAAACTTCATGGGAAAACACAATACTGTTTGGTTTTCCACTATTTTTTGAAAAGAAAATCAGCTAAGTTAAGGAAAAAATTTTTAAATACAGTTTTTTTTATATATATGTTTGTAATTCGAAATCAAAAACTGATTTTTATAAAACAATTTATAAAGTATTTTTTTTATGATTTAGTATTCCTTTGTATAAAATTGGTTTTTGTGAAGGAAGCATTAAAAGTAGTGCAAAGTAGCCTGGTACCTACATTTGAAAAGATGTATAATTAAATATTATAAAAATCATACTTTTATAGCTAAGAGATACAGGAAGTTTTTAGCACGAGGTAATTATTTTTAGGTTTTTATTTTTTTTTACTGTAAAACATGCATTGCTACATCGACTATTTTATAGCCTGCTGCTACAAGGGAGTGTTGCTAAATCCACAATCTTATAGCTTGCTGTTACAAGGAAGTGCTGCTACACTGACTATCTTTTAGCCTGCTGCTACAAGAGAGTGCTCCTACGTTAACTATCTTACATCCTACTGCTACAAGGAAGTGCTGCTACATCGTCTGAGTGTTTGGTTCAACAATTTAATATATATATATATATATATATATATATATATATATATATATATATATATATATATATATATATATATATACATATATATATATATATATATATATATATATATATATATATATATATATATATATATATATATATATATATATATATATTTAAGTAATACAACACGCATTCATACCAGTTTTTTTATTCCACCATATTGTCTGACTGCTTTTCTAGCCCTACGAAACTTAGCTACATGAGATATATTTTCAGCTGCCAGACATTTTAACTCTTTATTTGATGAACTAAGTATTTTGACCATGGTTTCTAACCCACCTAAATCTGCAATGGCTTTGCATATTTGCATATTTTCAGAAATAACTTTTAAAATCTTCAAAGATCCAACCTATAAAAAATATTAAGTTATAATATAAAACACTATACAATTTATTTTAGTATATTATAGTAAAGAGTAAAATACATAAAAACAGAAAAAATATAATAAAGTTCAAATATGGTAACCAATCAACATGGTAACCAATCCAGGGTTTATTTAAGTAATTTCACACCTAAATCAGTTTAATAAACCTTAAAATTACGATTATATTTGAACAAATGCTTTACTTATGAGTTGAAACTTTCTTGTTTGTGATTTCTAGTTCTCCATCTAAAGCATTTCAATATTTTAGCTATAGTTATTAATATCTTTTGCCATTTACCTACAACTGAAATTTGAGATATGAGAACACTGCAAATAATAAATACAAATGTGACTTTTCAATTAAAAACATGTTTAAATACATTTAACAAATATTCAATAACATTAGTTGTTAATATTGATTTGATTTATTACTTTTTTAAATATCTAATCGGTCAAAAATAAAAAGGTAAAAAGTAAATGGTCAAAGTAAGTGAATATACTAGTAGGATTGAGAGAATAACTAGGGTACTAGTGGGATAACTAAGCTTAATGTACGCTGATTAAAAACTTGCAAATGAAATAAATCATTAGTATTATACCTTTATTTTCACAATTGTTAAATTAGTGTTTACCTAAATTAAATAAGGTTTATGGTAACCTTATTTAAAAATACATATTCAGGGGCTATTCTAGACCCTTTTTGGCAATGCTGACTGTATTTAGCAAGAATTGGGCCAAATTCAAAAGATGAGGACCTTATCATATTTTATAAAATATGATAAGGTCCTCATCTTTTGAATTTGGCCCAATTCTTCATTAGAAGCCATTAGTAACTGAAAAAATTCAATTCTTCATTAGAAGCCATTAGTAACTGAAAAATCCTAAAAGAATCTTAGAAGAACATGATAACATTATAACAGTATGAAAGAATGAAATCAGAAGTACAATCATGGCCTCTGAGACTTATACTTTTTGGTCAAAGGAGAAACTATAAATGCAAAAAAGTACCTCAACATTTTGAATGAATCTCAAATCAATTTCATGATTATTCATCAGTGCAACATTCAGCACCATGCCACATTTTCAATATTCAGCACCATGCCACACTGCGAAGTCTGTGAGGCAGTAGCTTGGATCAAAAAATATACAGTTGCTTGATTGGCCTGGAAATTCTCCAGATCTCAACCCAATTGAAAATCTTTGGATGTTAATCAAGAAGTGTGTATCTGCTAAGAACTGCAGTTTATTAGATGGTTTAAAAAATGCTATTTGTCATGTATGGTGTACAGAAATTATATCAGAACTATGTGAAAAGCTTAACATCAAAGAACTGACAAAAGATGGACTCATCACTGAACATCACCTGTATCCACTGCTCTTCTGTCCAATCTTGATGCTTGATTGTACTTCTGATTATATAAATACATTTATAAAATATATTTATATAAATATATATAAATATATTTATAAAATATAAATATATTTATAAAATATAAATATATTTATAAAATATAAATATATTTATAAAATATAAATATATTTATAAAATATAAATATATTTATAAAATATAAATATATTTATAAAATATAAATATATTTATAAAATATAAATATATTTATAAAATATAAATATATTTATAAAATATAAATACATTTATAAAATATAAATACATTTATAAAATACAAATATATTTATAAAATATAAATATATTTATAAAAACAAGTATACAAATATATTTATAAAAACAATTTTGTAGCTTAAATAGTTAATTCAGTGAAAATCATGGCCAAGATTCGGCAGCTTAGTAAAGAAGAAAAAGCATGCATTCAACGTCTTGCTAAAAGTGGTAGGTCTCATGCAGACATTGCAACAATTTACATGGTTGAACGCACTACAATTCGGCGTGTTGTAAAGCAGGTTATCCCCCTGTCTCCTAAAAAGAGGACTGGATGCCCTAGAGTCACTTCACAGCGTACTGACCTCAGGATGGTAACAATGGTCAAGAGGAATCCTTCAATAATCTCTGGTGACCTACAGAACAGCATACCAACATTTTCTAATGTCTCAAAGCGCACAATCCGTCACAGACTTTCTGCAGAACTAAACTTACCTGCATGAAAGCCATTTAAGAAGCCATTAGTAACTGAAAAGATGAGAAAAAGCGCATTGAGTTCTGCAAAAAGCATCAAGATTGGACAGAAGAGCAGTGAATACAGGTGATGTTCAGTGATGAGTCCATCTTTTGTCAGTTCTTTGATGTTAAGCTTTTTGTTCGTCATCCTACTAGTTCTAATCCTACCAATCCTAAATACACATGCAAAACTGTGAAGCATTCACCTTCTGTAATGGTGTGGGGTTGTTTTTCTGCTCATGGCCTCTGAGACTTATACTTTTTGGTCAAAGGAGAAACTATAAATGCAAAAAAGTACCTCAACGTTTTGAATGAATCTCAAATCAATTTCATGATTATTCATCAGTGCAACATTCAGCACCATGCCACATTTTCAACATTCAGCACCATGCCACACTGTGAAGGCTGTGAGGCAGTAGCTTGGATCAAAAAATATACAGTTGCTTGATTGGCCTGGAAATTCTCCAGATCTCAACCCAATTGAAAATCTTTGGATGTTAATCAAGAAGCGTGTATCTGCTAAAAACTGCAGTTTATTAGATGGTTTAAAAAATGCTATTTGTCATGTATGGTGTACAGAAATTATATCAGAACTATGTGAAAATCTTGCCAAATCCATGCCCAAACGAATTAGTGCTGTGTTAAAAAACAAAGGATATCCTACCAAATATTAAAAGTACATCTGTTTAAAATGATTATACAATGTAATAAAAATAATTGAACTTGTTTTTAGTGAAAATACAATGTTTTTGGAAGTATTATTGTTTTTGGAAGTAATTATGAAAAGTAATTATGATGTTGCAAGACTTTTTGCATTTGTGTAAACATTGCAAACATTGATTTGTGTAAAATTGTGTCTTGTTATAAGACTTTTTACCAGCACTGTATAGTTGTACACAATAAAGTTTAAGACTTTTATTCATCAATATATAACAATATATACTAAATACACAAAGATTAGCATATCAAAAAGGTGAATTCAAGTTATGTAGGATTTACAGCCTAAAACAAATTGAGATGGGAAATCCAAAAAACTTATCAAAAGAAAACTCAAAATGCTTATTAAACTTTCATTTGTTAAAAATCCATCAAAAACTATGTACACATGATTTCTAAGACCTATCCTTGAAACCTTTTCTTTAGCTTAAATATTCTTGCATAGAAAAATAAATTGACAAACATAAATTATTTTAAATAAAAAACAACAGAACTATTGTCAGCTTTAAACTCAATTAAAACTCTCTAACTGCACCAGCTAATCAGAAGAAAAAAAATTAATTATTTTTAAATCCTTACCAAAATTAACAACATAAACTGATATTTGCTGATAAATCATTCACTGGCATCTGGGTACAGGTTACACAGGAGCTATTCAAATAATTATTAGAAAATCTTAACTAATGGAATCATTCCATATTGTTATTCAATACCAAAAAAAATAGCATTATTAAACTTTTATTGAAATAAGTAAAATAGGTGGTTTTTGTAGTGGTAGGATTGTGAGCTAAAAGTTTTATACCAAATCTACTACAACATTGTAAAGTATAACAACAAATAAATTAGAATGCCACAATCAATAAATTTTTCTTAAATTCACAAAATACCATACTGAGTAAGTTTTTAACAAATAATTTATTTTAAAATAATGTCAATAAATTCATGAGTCAACTAGACCATAGTCACGCATTGGCAAAACAACTGTAGGTCAAAATTGCAACACTGAAAATTTGTTAGTAACATTAATAACATGTTAGGGGTGTCCATAAAGTGTGTACGCAGTGAAGCCACTAATTTAAGACCTCTTCCCTTCGTATGCATCTGTATAACTTCAATGACCCCCTCCCTCCTTTGTGTACACAGGCATTATCTATTTCAAAATCAACACCTCCATTTCTCTAAGCATAAATTTTTCTAAAAATTAAAAACAGAAAAACTTTTAGTAAACTTGATATTTCTCTGTTACATGATACAATATTAATTTTTTTAACTAGAAAAATTCATAACAATATTGATTTTTTTAACTAGAAAAATTCAATCCTTTTGTTTAAAAAAGAAAAATCAAGTTTTAGGTGAGATTAACAATGTGAGATAGTTAAATAAACCACATAAGTACTTGCTGACTTAACCTCCCCTTCCCCTTACATGCTTTTCTACATTTTTGATATATGTATATATATATTTATATATACGATCATTTCATTGTCACAGTGTGAAATTTGACTTTCTTTTTCAAAAACATCAGATTTTAGAGCATTTGAAGTTAAAAAATTAAAAATTTAAATTAATAAAAAACTTTCATAAACATTAGAGTTTCTTAAAAAAAAACATTTTATGCTTTGGATACTTGAAAGATGTTATAATAGTTTCAAAAAATTTATAAAATATTTTTTAAATTTACATCGTGACGTTAAATTGTGAAAAGTACTAAATCTTTGAATTTTAAGACAATAACTTTATCAAAAAGACAAATAAAACAAAAGAAAACAATTTATTTGAATTTTGTAAGATTAGTATAATACTTAACAAAATAGTTGATTTATAATCATTCAAAATGTGGCATATAGTCTTGCAAAAGTCAATTATGTCTTTTTATTAAATTTCATTTATTTAACCAAGTATGATGCACTTGAATATAGTTAATATTTTAATTTTATCATTAACCTGTTTTAAGTAATGAGCACTAAACAATCCTGGCATTTTAAAAGCATTAGTAATGATGTTTCCAAGTTCTGTGTTATCAAAAGCAGCTTTTTTTTCAGCAGCAATCATGAAAACGTTTACTTGACTTTCATCTCTGAAGGCTTTATAAAATCCTGTTTTGTCATTTATAAGAGCTCCTCTTCGAACAATTTT